CAATCGCAGCCCTCAGGGAAGATGGACACTTGAGGCTCCTCTTCTGGAAACCCAGGTCCCGTTGGGATGTGGGGTTCTGGGGCATCTTATCACCAGGACAAGACCCCCTACTGTGGCCCCTGTGGCCCTGTAGGCTGAATCAGTGCAGACCCTGGCCCTGGACAAACCACAGGAGGGAGCGGGGGGAGCCAGCCCTGGGGAGGCTGCGGCAGGCTCTGTCTGCTTGAGGGGCGGTGATGGGGGCCGGCACCACGCCCACCCTGCACTGGGCCTGACTGCTCAATGGGGCCCTCACAGATCCCTAAGTCCCTCTGGGGGCGGGAGCCCGGCTGGGGATCTGCACGCGGGCTTGGCTGTGAAGCAGATGTCCCCCATCCTGCCCACCCCTCCACTTCCCAAATGCTCCAGCCCAGGGCCCAGCCTCATCCAGATCCCTCGGGCAGAGGCTCATCAGGTGGACCCCAGGTCACCAGTGATCCTGAGGGGCTGTCAGATGCTGGGCCCCCCGGGGTCCAAGGTCCCGACTTTCCTGTGGCTCCCCCTCCTAGCAGAGCCCTGGGGAGCCCCCAGCGGTGTCACAGACAGGCTGAGCCACAGCTGCTGCTGAAGTTCTTTATTTGGCGTGGGGTGGGGTCAGCGGCGGGGTGGAGGCTGCCCAGGGGGGTGGTCCGGTCCAGAGGCCCAGTCTGGTGTGAGGCGGGTCTGGTGGGGAGTGAGGGCGCTGGGGCGCAGATCAGGGTGGCTGCTGCAGGAAGAGGAGCCCAGGTCAGGTCCCTGCTGTGGGAGCAATGGTGGCCTCTCCGTGACTACCCTGTCACCGAGCGTCCTGGGGGTGGGGGGTGAGCACGATGGTGCTGGCCTGACCTTGGTGAGGAAGGACTTCCTGATCACACTCAAGGTGACTCCTCAGGTGTCCACTGCTGCCTGGTCCAGGCGGGGGACTCTCTGCTGCCTGAATAGACAAGAGGGGGCCAGAGAGGTGGAGCCTAGAGTTCCTTGGCCCAGCATAACCCTCCCAGGCGGTCACTTACCATGGCCGCTCTTGGGGACACAGCGTTCTGTAGGAACCAAGGAAAACCTGGGAGTCAAAAGGCCGCCTGAACAGGCGCTCAGACCCCAGACACCCAGAATTTAGACCCTCTGTGAGGCAGAGCCTGGGGTCCCTGTGAGGAGACAGAAGGACATGGGGGGGAGGGCACAGACAGTCGAGGGAAACAGATTTGAGGGACATGGAAAACACTGGGGCCCGTGCAATCGCAGAGGGGACACGGGGATGCAGAGGGACGTGTGGGGCACAGAGGGACACAGGAGAAGATGCAGTCAGAGGCATCCGCTCACCCCTCTGCTCAGGGATGATTATTTTCTCCTGCGGGAGTTGCTTGCTCTGTGCGAATTTCCTAAATTCCTCCAGGGCCTCGGGGTTTTCCTCAGGGGTCCTCCCTGCGGGACAGGAGCCAGGTGAGGTGGGAGAGGGACCTGAGAGGGGACTGGGAGCTCTGAGGGGGGACAGGAAGAGGAGGCAGAGCCCACCGCCCAGCTGACAGGTGCCTGGGGCCCCAAGCCACCGTGTGACCCAGGGGACAGGGTGGCTCCCAAGCAGTCCTGCAGGTCACGTGATGGACTGGAAGGACCCCATGGCCTGGAGGTGCTGAGCCATCCCCTGACCTTGGAGAGGCCCCGACCCCTAAGGCCTCTAAAGGCCTCTCCCTTCCAGCTGCCCTGTCCTGATGTCTGAGACCCCAGGAAGCGGCCCTTGCCAGTGCCCATGGCCGCAGCGTCCCTCCTGAGCGGCCAGGTCCCCGAGGGCCATGTCTACCCCGTCCCTGACCATCCTGCCCTGAGATCTCTTCCGGTCAGAGCTGGCACCCTGCCTGCAGCACGCTGTGCCTGGAACCCGGAGGGTGGCCCAGGGGCGTCTGAGTCCCTGCGGCCAGGATGCAGCTTCTCCAGCTGATGTTGGGCAGGGGCTGGGGTCTCCGGGCCCCTCACCCATGAGGTATCCCACGTGCATGGTCTCCCCGAAGAGCAGCTGGTGCTCAGCGTAGCAGATGTAGTGGTCCTGCACGGGCAGCTTCTCTATGTGTATGCGCGTGTGGTTCC